CATGATACCATACTACTTTTTACCTATACTTGCTCTTTTTTAAGTTGCTATTCATCGTAGACTGACATCAGTTGGGGGAACAAAGGAAACCTTGGCGCACGGGACTGCTGTTTCATCCTAGTGTGGGACTCCATAGCAGTGCGCACCCAAGACTCCGCCAGGGATCGAACCCGCGACCTTCAGGTTCCGCAGCCAGCGCGTTACCATTGAGCCACTGGGTCAGAATCCCATGGTCCATATTTCCAACTTCTGTTAGCTCACAATATAGCGCAACCGCCACCCAATGTCATCGTTGAGTAACTATCCTCACGACCATCAGGCTTTGACTCCACTGGTCACGACTTCTCACTGGAACTTCGGGAATACTTCTCGAAGCTAGTCACCAATGAGCTCTAGTTTCTTTGTTCCTCCAACTGATGTCAGTCTATGATGAATAACAACTTGAAATATTTCCAAATCTCCACAACTCCCTCAAAAATTCAACTCTTTTTTTATTTAATAAATATTTCTATTGTATCTTCTATGGACTTCCCTGGGGCTATTTTGGACTAATAAGTAGTCTAGGATGCTAATGATTTATATGTTTGCAGTGGCTATCTCAACCGACGTTGAATAAATAAACTTACTTGTATAATAATGTAGACTTTCTTACTAAAAGGAAGTGAAAAATTAGAGAATTTCGATCAATAAAATTTGATTAGCACTACAGACATTGGAATACAAGATTGACCAATAAATAAACGAATGTAATTCAGAGACTACATGACTGTTCATGCAGCAGATAATGGACCAGACGTGTCATGTGAAAGCTAATGATACAATATGCTTTTCCAAACCTCGATCGTAGAAATAGAATTCTAACCTGTAACCTACTGCCTATGATTTTCAGTCCTAGAAATAATATATTTCTTTAGCGACTTACCGGTGATACATTATCAAGTAACTAAGGTATTGAACCGTTAACTGGTTTACACTCTTCCCTCGATAACCATGCAGGATAGTGCTCAGCCTATTAACTAGCTCCACAAGAGCAAATAAATTTGTAGACACATATTGAGGTGGTCCAAAGAGGCAACATGCTCCGGAATCATTTGCTAACTAGAGAATCTGATCTGCAGCTTCTCAGAGAAGAATGTCTTCTTCAGCGATCTAGACAGCCGATTCTTCAGGATCATTGCTATCGTATCGCCTTTAATGTCAACGTTCATAAACAAGGTTTTTTTAGGAACTGTGAGTTCTTGTTCCGTATTGTTTTAATTTCAAGTTCTTCTCAATAAGTCTGGATGGGTATCCAAACTACGGAAGGTCCTCATACAAAATGGATACCAATCCAGATTTATTGAGAACTTGAAATTAAAACAGAATTAAGGCGTTTTTGAGAAATCTCCTGACAAATACCCCATATATCTTAGTATACATCCATACTTGACAGCAGCTACTTTGATGCGCTGGTCGGGGGTGTATATCACAATGACCGGATTAGCTACACTGGCTGGAAAGCTTTTTCCCTCAGATCCTATCATATCAAAAAGGTCTGTTGATAGTGATGAAAGGAAAAGCAATTACTGTCATAGTCTAAGTTTTCATGCTATGATGGGTATCAAGGGCATACTGCTGGCTGGGGTGTGTCAGCAGTAAGGTACTTCCTATGGACGAGCAGTAGCACCTACGGTCAGAAAATACCCCACTATCTTTTACTACGCGAGATACCAGTGAGAACGATATGGGTTCATAGTTGGGGTCGAAACTAACAAAACTAAATACCAAGCATCTTAAAAAGCCATGTGACCCACCACAAGCAGACATCCCTTGGAGTCTGACGTCACGCACTCATCCTTCCTTTTCAGGTACCTCAAGAAGAACTAGCCTTCCATGGTATGGTCAACAAGGGAGTGCCAACTACCCTCACAACTCTGTTAGCACTCAAGTTTCTTCAGATCATTATCAAACTTTACCTTCTTACCTTCCTTCAAGTCTCTCAACAGACATTCGGACTTAACCTAAAACCTCTTTCAGCTCTTGATAGCAGTCTGTGTTCACAGAACAGCATCCCTAACCTCCTAAAACTACCATGGAGCTTCTAATGCCCGCACTCACCCACGAACGGATGTATGCTTTGTTTGTCGGAAGCACATACAGGACCTAGGTGCGGTTGCTCACTTAAACTCCACTGGCCAGTATGATGAACACGAAAATTCACCCTTCGAGTCTCTGGAGATTCGGTGACTAGATCTCACAGTCATGCAGATGTAGGTATGGCACTGAGTTCATAGGTAGAAACTGTACTGCTGGGCTGCATCCTCGTCGATAGTTATCTATGAGCTGTTCAACTGAACGGCGCAGTGAGGACCTAAATCAATAATGAAACTCGATGTTGTCTCTTTTAAATCTATCCCTACACACCCTCTGACTGCAGTTCAGTCGAGTCCTATCAAAAACTGTTTGGCCTCCTAATGAAAGCCAAACGTTCAGGCGTAGTTGTCGAAGCAGGTGGTCATAATTCAAAAGTAGGTGAACTAAGTCAGATAGAAAGGCACTTTCGGGATGCCAGCCGAACGACCAGATAACGGTGACCACCTCCCACAACTCTGTTCAGAAAAACCATCTACTTCTACCCACTACAAACTACACATATAAGGAGAGTCATTGTCTAATGTAGTGTCCACCAACCTCGACTCAGCAGTGGAAAAAGATAGACCATATTACTATGATTTATCGCCGGTGGGAGATTTCCACTCCTTCTGGAGCACATGTTTGGACAGCGTTCACGAGCTGGTTCGAGCATGTATGTCTGCAACTAAATGGACGTCCTAAGACTACAGCAACAAGGCGATTCTGAATGCAGATATTTCAAGCAAGGAACTAGCTAGACAGTGATCGGTACAGAACAACACCACCTGTGCAAAAGAAGCCTTGCGCCATTTCCAGTCTGCTGTAAAAACAGCGTTGAAGACTGTAACTGACTCTCACAAAGTGGTTAGAAAAAACCATTGTATCTCAGAAGCTTCTTCTGAAACAGTGGATGTACGAGAACGCATCCCAGCAGTTCTGAGCATAATGAGGGACGGAAGCAAACCAAATCTAGACTGACAAGAAATCAACCCAATGACCACGAGTGCTGGTGTGCATGAAGGCTAAAGAGATGGAAAAGGCCACGGCGATAGGTAATACCAGATAGTTATTCAGACTTATCAAAGAAACTGGGTGATTCACTCGCAGGAGAGACGACTGGAACGACAGGCGGCATACTCCAACTAGCCTTCAGTTAATATTTAGTTGCACGTTATGAAGTCGGATCCTGAGTGAAAATTGAGGTAGGGCTTCCAACACTTACGGAAGTTGAGGAAGCTATTAGTAGTCTGAAACGAGGAAGGGTATCAGAACTAGATCAACTACTACCGGATATATTTAAAGAAGATGATAGTGGATTATCGGCTAGGTTAACTGAAGTCCTCTTGTGACAACCACAAGAAAATCAGCTTCATGAACATAGTATCTAAGATTTTATTATCATCAGACGTCTAAATGGAACCTAAAAACAGTAAACCTGGGGAAAATAAACAGGTTTCAGATCTCACTGTGAGTGCGTTGACCAGATATTGGCACTCTGCCAGGTTCTGGAGCACAGGCGAAATACCAACGCCTGATATCAGCTGTATTTCTTGACCTGAAGGCGCCATTCAACTGAGAGGTTTTATAGTAGTATCTCTCACTAAAACAGGTGCCGAGTAAAAACACCCTTGCTCTCAAAACTTTCACTTGAACACATGTGGGCTTACTAGATTACATGATAAGTTGTGTCCGATAAGGATGTCCACTCTCCGTTCTTATTGAACTTCATCATAGATATTCTTATGGAGGTCTCCCTTTTTTTAGTAACTTCATAGGGGTTGATCTTATCGCAGAATTCATGGTTGACCTATAGTGCGTAGATGACAGTCTTCTGGCAATTTCAGAATATATTTCGCATCACCTAAATGCAGACTGTTACTCCAGGGTTGGTCTTCACTGGTGCTCTAACAATATGAGTGGAGTGGTTTGGCGCGTCGACCCCAGAAGTCAGGTCAGTAACTAGCAAATCTCCGCCCAAATACATAAAGGCTCGTCTGGCTTTCACCAACTCTCGCCACTCATGGGGCCGCAGTGATATCCACGTATAAATTAAGGGTCAACTATACTGAGCTACAGTTTTCTCTGCTCTACTATATGGCTGTTAAACATGGTCATTAAAAGTGGAGGATATGAAGAGGGCTTCAGGAGTTTGACCGCTACTGCCTTCGTGGCATAGGTGGTGTGTAGTGATGTCACCCTGTCACTAAAATGAAGTCAGACGTAGAATTTTAGGGAAATGAGGAAAGTCACTGCCGTACAATGTTAGGTAAAATAGATTCAGGCTGGGAAAGAGTAAGAGGTGGTCAAACTAAAACACGGCACTAGTTCATGAAGTCTTTGACTTTTAATCTGAGTTATATAAAGAAATGTAGACTAACCGGTTGATGTCTGTGACAACTGAAACTAGTGGTTGGAGATTGCAGGTGACGTGGCTCTCTCATCCTTTTTAGTCCTCTAACACTTTCGACTGCTTTCTACTTTATTTCTTTGTGTTTCAGCCCAGTGTATTCTCACTTAATGTGCTGGCATGAGGTGTAGCAACTTCGACCGTCATATAGTAATGTCAGGTCTCATCCTGATCTTGTCTTACATTTAGTTCCCTTGACAAATTTGAAAAATGCAAGAACAAAGACATTTGATATCATCAGTTAGAACATTGAAAACCTGAGAGCACTGGACAGTTGTTTCGCCCCAGTATAAGACTCCTCAGCAGTGCAAACCTATGACCCCACCAGGAATCGGACCATGACCTTCAGGTTCCTTAGCCAGCACGTCACCATTAGGCTATTGAGTCGGAATCCAACAGTTTATATTTTCAACTTCTGTCTTTATTCTTACATTGTTCAAACTGATCTTTCTATCCATACATTAGTGTTTTCCACTGTGATATAACCTAGAAGAATAATTTAAAAGGATGTTTGATAAGGACTATACATCGAAATTCATACAGTTTCTATTTAAGGATAGACAAAAACTGTTAAAACGTATCAAATGTTGTTTTAACCAAAATATTACAGATCAAATACAAAAAATTATAAATACTCAACCAAAAATTTACAAAATAATACATTTAAAAACTTTCTAAAAATGATTTTAATATATCATTACAAAGCTTTAGAATTTTCACAACAGGATGTTGAATAAATTGTTTCATAATTTGTATCACCATACAAAAGTCATGTACACGTATCCAATTTGATGCATCAGTATCACTTGTATAATACTCTTTCCATAAGTTGGGATTTTTTACAGCAGTATGAAATATATCTAAATTTGTTTTGATTAGATTGATTAATTCACAATTCATTAGATCATCAAGTACATCTAACGATGTGTATTGTGTAGATTTGCATTTTTTCAAAAATTCATTTATTACAGTATTCATATCATCAATGTGTCTCGGTAATCGAGTGATTAAAATATACTTTAACAGTGAGAAGAATTCTTTAAAATTCATTCCAGAGAGTGCACGTAAGCAAGTCTAAGTAAAAAGGCGAAAATACATTGAATTAAAAACCTTATCATGATAATATAAACAATTTAAGTTGAAATATACACGTAACTTAGTAGCTGTATGCTAGTGTAAGAGTTTCGCTAGCATCAATGTTTCAATATTAACAAAGATTGTTAGAGATAGGTGGCGTTTAATTCTCACCTTTGTATAGTTTACTCAAAAACACTTTAGATTGGCGTTTTCAATGATTATTTTTGATTTCAGGTTAGCATTGATCGCATAACGACATCAGTCGGAGAAAATAGAGAAGTTGGGAGCACTGGTATGGGACTCCTCAGCGGTACACACCCACGAGCTGGTTGGGGATTGACCTCAGAACCATTGTGTTTGAAGGCGAATTTGTTAACCATTCATCCACAGTTTCCTACTTCAGTCAATTCGCGATACAGCGCGACCTCCATGCAGTGCTGTCTTTGAGTAACTGTCCTCATGTTCGACTTAGTTACCCCCACTGGTCACGATTTTTCATTAGAATTTCGGGTATCTCATACAGAACAAAGCCACTAATGAACATTAGAGAATATCGACCTGAAATCCATAAATACCCCCCCCCCCAAAAAAAAACACTCAATTTTGCCAGCTACGGATCAATTACTTTTACAGTTCTTCATGTTGTTAGTTACCTGTTTTCTTCGCATACAATATAACATGCTGTTTCACATGTTTCTACCTTCTTCAGTTGAAGTAAATAGCTTTTAATCAAAAACACTGTCATTCTTTGTTATCATTTCTAAGTTTCAGCTACGAGTTACATCCAGTTTAGTAAAAAAATTTTCTAGGTCACATATGCAGGTACTAAAGGAAGTAAAACTGGCATACAACTATGAGAAGAATGTATTTGATGGTCTTGTGTTCCCTGAGTTGTATGGCTTAATTGTGAACCTTTTATTATCATTCTAAACAACAACATCATCAGCACAAACTTCAAAAAGAAGTGTGGGGTTTTCTCCAGTGGTGTACATCAACCTTACGGGGAGAAGACAAAAAACTATTTCATGATCGTTTTCCAGAAGAACGGCTATCTACGCATCATCACCAAAAGCTGTTTCCTTCTAATGTGCCGTCAACCGAAAAGTTAGCCTTGGAAACCGACAAACGAATTGTTTTACCCTACATGAAGAATGTCTCCGAGATCCCAACTAGATTATTGAAGACTTGGAATCGATGCAGCCCATAAGCCTACAAAATCTCTCCACTCTATGTTATGTAAGCCAAAAGATCCGATAGCGAGGATAAACTAAACTTTATTGACAAAATAAATTGCAGAGACTGTGAAAAATACTACATCAGACAGAGTGATCGCCCCCTTCATATTCATCTACATGAACATCAACTAACAGTGAAACATCATAACGTATCTTCACTCATATCAATCCATACGGTCAACTGTGGACATGGATTCCACTGGGAAAATGTGGGAATACTGGAAACAAGAAATACAGAGAATGCTAGAGAGTTTCTAGAAGCTTGACATTCACGTCAGTCAGTGATCAACTAATATATTGATATTGTTACAATCTATCTACTAATGAGAAACAATGAGAAGGTCAAAGTTCACGTCGGTAGGACAACCAATCATAATGCGCGTGGAGAAAATGACAAGACTTTGGCAGAAACAACCAATCACACACAAGACCATCAAGACAAATCACTAGGCCACTTGTGAGGAAAACCCAATAGTTCACTTCTTTCTGAAGTTTGTGCTGATGACGTTGTCTAGAATGACACTGAAGGCTTCACGAACAAACCATTCAGCTCAAAGAACAAAAGACCATCAAAAAAGTCTTCTATAGTTTCTACCAACAATATGTGATGCTTCAAAATAACTGACAGCATCACACTTTGTTTTAATATGCAACAATGAAGAATAACCGTTGAAGATTTACGAATACAGCAATCACACGTACTTAGTCACTGTTACCTAAGAAACTGTTTATGAGTTATGAAATCTCTAAATTTTTAGTGCTGATCCTGAACCTAGGGATGGTTGGGAAGTGTGCTATATGTGCTGAATCTTAGCATTTAGAAAATCTAGGAATGGTAACCAATCTATGAAGCACCATGATATCAGCTTAACTCCTGTAAGTTACACTGCAGGTTTCCTGGTTAGATTCGTTAAAAAAGTCTGGAGTAGTTAGTCGAAGATAGGTTGTGTAGCTCAAATGCCAGGACAAATTTAGTTTATGTGGCACAGAGACATAGTATTGCTTACTGGATGACGTTTCAAGCATAATCAACCACCTGTAGTTATATCACAGTAGCTGCACAACTTTTGAACATTCTATCGCTTTTCATTAAAAGATGGTTACTCAAGATTACTAGTCAGACGAACTAAAGTATACGTAGGCAGTTCAAATACTATTCCATGTAACTGATCTTAGATGTGCATTGTCCTGGTTTCCAAGAAGAAAGACAATTTTTTTGAATGATAACCACAGAAGAAATAGCCTAATTAGTTACTACGATGCTAAATCCCATAATCATTTCAAGCATAACTATATTTCAGGAACAGAGACTAAGAGGAAATTAGGAAGGTTTTGGACCTAACTATGGATACTTCGATCAAACCACCACTTTCTACTAAATCATTAAAAACGGGACTACTTTCTGGCAATAAACACTAGGTGCAATTCTCGAAATGAAGGCAGTTTTGACTCCAATCATCAAGAAGTCTGATAGAAGTGTCTCTTATTGATGGTGTGAAGTCAGCAAAAAACCCAAGTCTTCTGAACATGTTCAATAAAAATTGAAGAGTGTTGAAGTGTATTTGTTACGATAATTTGGTTGGTTGTGGCTGGCAGAAGAATCGATGGCGCGCGTTCCGTTCTATTTGGGAGTCGTCAGCTGGGTGTGCCTGCACCCCAGTGAGGAGTGATGCTTCTCCCACTGAGACTCGAACCCCATACCCATCACTTCAAACGCCAAGGCATTATTCACTACGCCACGGAGGAAAGT